GTATGTTCATAAATAGTGTGTTATCTGCTGTTTTCCTGGCACATCCCACCGGGTGCAGGATGTTACAAGATGTTATTTGTGAGAAGAGTTAGAACAGACACTTGAGCTTTGGTCAGGTAATGGATTGGAAAGCTTTCTTACGTAAATGCAGACAGTACAAAGGTTTTGTTCTTTGCTAGGAGAGAAGCCATACAAATGTGAGCTGTGTGACAAAGGCTTTGCTCAGAAGTGCCAATTGGTGTTCCACAGTCGGATGCATCACGGAGAAGAGAAACCATACAAATGTGATGTGTGCAATCTGCAGTTTGCAACTTCAAGCAATCTGAAGATTCATGCCAGGTAGGCAGAAGTGAGATCCTGAAGGTGTTTATCCATACATTTATTTAAACAGAATGATTAACTCTGGTGTTAGCAGGAGTCACATGTTCACAGAACTTGGTCATTTCTGCATGTTTTATCTTGGGTCTTGCTTCACCCTGTGTAATAAATTGTGTATCTGTGTAGTCACTCATTAGGGTTTTGATTTACACATTTTATGAGTTTATGAACGGTACAGTGTATGTACTGGTATCCTTATGGCAATGGTGGCTGTTTTGTTTTGTTTTTAATTGTCTGTAGTACTCGTAGAGGAAAGAGGATCATGATAGGACGTGGTACAAAGTGGGTCTCTCTGCTGACTGCAGCCTGAATGGAGCTTTTGCATTTTTGGCAGGAGTACAAATTATGTTTCCTTGTTAGGAGGTCATTGTTCTGTCTTTAGGAGGAAGTTTTTCACCCAGAGGGTGGTGAGGCACTGGAACAGGTTGCCCAAAGAGGCTGTGGATGCCCCATCCCTGCAGGCATTCAAGGCCAGGCTGGATGTGGCTCTGGGCAGCCTGGGCTGCTGGTTGGCGACCTGCACACAGCAGGGGGTTGGAACTGGATGAGCACTGTGGTCCTTTTCAACCCAGGCCATTCTATGATTCATTGAAGTAAGGAGGAAGAAGGAATGAAGAAGGAATCATTGATGCGCTCATTCCCAGTGAATCTCCCTCAGTGAGAAGCTGCGGACTCAAAATCAGCTCCCAGTTGATGAGGTGTTTTAGTTCACAGAACACCACTGTGAGGAGAAAGCAGAAGAAACTTGGGGAAAATCACTTAACAGTGAGGGTGACTTCCCTTTGTGCCAGCAGACCCCTGATGTCTGTTTGTTCCCAGGAAGCACAGTGGTGAGAAGCCCTACGTGTGCGATCGCTGCGGGCAGCGCTTTGCTCAGGCCAGCACGCTCACCTACCACGTGCGTCGCCACACCGGGGAGAAGCCTTACGTGTGTGACACCTGTGGAAAAGCCTTTGCTGTCTCAAGTTCTCTCATCACCCATTCCCGAAAACACACAGGTAAGGGGAGACCTTGCATGGAGATACCCAACCAGGCCTGGCAGGAGGTGGCTGCTGCAGAGGGGCTGGGGATGGGTAATGAGGAGGAAATCTGCATTGGGAGGAGCTGGGGGTCACCTCTGGTGTTCTCAACCAGTTCTTTTCTCGTGTTCTTTCTCTTTGACTCTGGTTTAGGGAGCTCTTTCTCCCATTGGATATTATCTGTTTCATTTTAATTTGTTCTTTATGCTGTATATTCTGGTTTATATGTTGAAATAACAAACTCCTTGTGTTTACTTTAGGAGAGAAGCCATATATCTGTGGCATCTGTGGGAAGAGTTTTATTTCCTCTGGAGAACTCAATAAACATTTTCGGTCCCATACAGGTCAGTTTCCAGACAGGCTGCTTCCTGCACAATAAATAAGATTCTACTTCTTCCCTTTTGCCTATAAAATATACCATATTGTGTTGCACTTAAAAGTAGTAGTTTCTTAATGTATGTATTTCAGCATGAAGATAATTTAAAGAAAATGTCTGTGACTTTTTTAATTGCCTATTTCAGACACATGTCTGCATGTAACAGTGTAAGTGTTGATGTAAGGGCTTTACCTCAAGCATTGAGGCTTTTTTTGTTTTAATCTACTGTTCTGGAAACAATCTTATTCTGAATAATGGCACAGACAAAACAGCTTGCAGTTATGATGCATTTTTAAAATACAACTTAGAAATCCATTATCCTGTGTCAGCAACTGCATCTTCTTTCACTTTTAACATTATTCTGTCAAACTTTTTTTCAGGTGAAAGACCATTCATTTGTGAACTGTGTGGAAATTCTTACACAGATATAAAAAACCTTAAGAAGCACAAAACAAAAGTTCACACAGGTAAGTTCCTTGTGTAAAGAAAGGTTCAGAAGCAGCATCAACTATTGACTTGTCATCAACAGTCATCATCAACATGTCATCAACATCAACAAATTTGTCTGTTCATTTTTACTCCTCCATGTAAGGACACTTCAGCTGTCTTTCTCTTGTAGAGTTTTGCCATCTGTTGCAAGACTTCTAATAGCAGTTGCTCATGCTCTCTGGAAACAAGTCCTCCTTAGCTCTTGCTAATAACAATTCCTGCATCATTTGCTAACTTTTTCCATATGCTAATTGCTGGGGAAAATAAATGATTGGGAAATTATTTTTTTTTTGCCAGGATCTGAAACTCCCCCTGATTGCAACACACTTGATAATTCTTTCAATGATCAAGAATCCCTTCAGAGTCAGAAGAGTCCTTTATCAGAGTCTGTAGATGTGAAACCCTCTGAGATGTCTTTGCCGCTTCCTCTTCCCATTGGTACTGAAGACCATCAGATGCTTCTTCCTGTGGCAGGCAGTCAGTCCCCATCATCAGAAACATTACTGAGATCTGCTGTGACTGGATATTCAGAACCTCAGTTCATTTTCTTGCAGCAATTATACTGACACTGTAGAGCCAGCAAAGAAATCCAGCAGTGAACTCGCATACCTTTGGTAAAGATGAACATAATCAATCAAGCAGTCACTTCTTGAATTTTTCTTGGTTTTTTTTTTCTTTCTGTAAAGGCAGTTGTAAGCTGTTTCCATTGTACTATGCTGTTTTTTTTTTTTTTTTTTTTTTTTTTTCCTCACTGTTGAATTGTGCTAATGTACAATCAACCTTCTGTTTGCAATTAACACTTCCAGGAGTTACATGTTTTCCAGCAATGCCTGCCTTAAGTATTCTCTGTTAAATACTCTAATGCATTTTGGAGATCTCCTGTTATGTTCCTGTCCATCTGGTGTGTGACAGTATCACCTGAGCACTGGAGCAGGTAGCCAGGAGAGGTTGCTGGAGTCCCCTTGCTTGGGGATCTTCAAAAGCTGCTAGGATGTGGTCCTAGGCAACATGCTGTTTGTTTGTTTTTAAGGGAAAGTCATAATCTGAATGTGCTAAAGAGCATCCTGAGGTCCTGTAATGGTATGTGATGGCAGGTAGGCCAGTGCTCAGTCAAGGTCCTCTCAAAGAATTACTGCTGTCTGGGAGAAGCAGTCCATCTTCAGCTGAAGTCTGACCAGAGGGACAGAAAGCTTTGTGTTCATGTCCCTGATGGGGCAAGTAAAGGAGAGTTTCTTTAGCATGATAACCCAGAGAGTTCTAATGGCATAGGTACTACTGTGTATTCTTTCCAAGAAGTCACTCGTTTTTGAAGTGAATCCAGTGTTGTAACTTGTCCAAGATTTTTTTTCATATGTCTGAAATGTCCCGAATTTGGCACAAGCAGCAGCATTTGCTCACCAGAAGAGCTAGAACATGGGTGTTGTAGATGAGGTGAAAAGATGCATTGACTGAACTGTGATGTGTGATCCATAGCTTCATAATGATCATTTCTGTGCTTCTTGTGGTGCTGGTCAGTAGGTACAAAAGAAGAAACAAATGCAGCCCTTCACTGTGAAAATACTGCATGACTGCTATTGAGGGGGCATTGAGGAAGAATACAACAGGGCAGATTAACATTCTCCCAAGCAGGGATTTGTTTCAACTGAAGTATTTATGTATTAATTTACCTTTCGTGTTGCACAGTAACTGTAATTGGTATCTAGCAAGACTCTTGCAAAGGTATATTTTACTATTAGCAATTTATATTTTTTTTTAACAAAGCATTTTTAGGTTCTCTGTAGGATCATTAAAGACTGGTTAAGAGTAGGAGTACCTTTTTTATGCTCCATTTTGCCAGTTTGTGCCATTAACATGATAGAAGTGTTACCTAAGTAATCATCAAACAGTAAGGAAGCAGTCTTATGACTGTGCCACAAATAGATTTAAAGATATCACTTGTTGGTTATTTCTTTGGTGCTAGCATTTTATTCCCACTGATTCCTTGTGTCCAGACATTGATAAATAGAAGGGCATAGGAGATACCTCTTAACTAACTGTGTTCTACATGGAGTAAAAATTAATCTGCCCCTTAATTAAACAGCCTTGTGAAAAAGTTCTTGGAGGGTTTCATTTAAATGTTCTGCAGATGGTCCCTTGACTCCTGAGCATGACTACAGATTTTTTTCCTCCCCATTTGTACTTGTGAAGTAACAGATCTTTCATTTCTTTGTGGTGGTCATCTTGGTATGGGGCACGGTTAGAACTCTGCTTCTTGATCATGTTTTAAGTCATAAGATATGGCCAATTTAATGATAAAATCTACCACAGGCAGCATGGAGTGGCCCAGGAACAGTTGAATGCAGGCATTTTTCACTTTGTTTGCTAATTACTGCCATACTTCTTGACATTTAATTTCTTTGCTTATCCATCCTGCACCATTTACGTACAGCTGATGCCCTTCATAAGGCTGGCACAAGGCAATAGATGAAGTTCTCAGATTTTGTTTGGCAGTTCCCTACTACTGCTTCTCCCGTGGCTTTTTCTTCTTCCAAGTTGCTGTTGTTGATTAGGAGCTGAATGATTCTGTAGCCAACTAGCATTCAAGAACCACAAAGAGCAGAATGCTGATTCCATTTAACAAAGTGAGCGCTGTACCTTGCTCTAAGATTCCTCTTTACTTTCACTTTCTGAAAACAGAGGAAGAGTCTTGGCATAGACATAGACTTAGCCATGAGTATTGACAAAGTGCAGCACCGTAAGCTTGATAAATTTCATGTTTAACCAACTCTGGAAGATAAACTAATGATACACTGTTGTTACCTGAGGATTAATGTAAAATTCAGCATAAAGGACAAGAGCTGTTTTGCTCTAGGAAGAAGTAACTACATTCCTACTTAGGAAATGCATTCCATAACAGTGTTTGTTTGGACTGTTTTTATATTTCTACAATAATAGCTTATTGCTGTATTCTTAGATTTTCAGACTTTTTAAAACAGTACTTAGATTTATACAGGATTTGTTTAGATGCTTATAACAGTACCACTTTCTTTCGTAGTCATTTAGTTTTCTTTATAGACAAGAAGATAATCATTATTTTTTACAAAACAACACTTTTAGCCTTTCTTAGTAGAATACACAGGCTGTAATTTTGACTTAGAGCAATAATTTAGTGAACTGCACTCTTCAGTCCTCATCTGAGAACCTCGATTCTTACCCTCATCTTTTGTGCAGATATCTCAGCTGCTGAGGTATGATCTCTATCAACGGTATTCATTTAATAGAATATAGATTTTAAATATATATAGAAAGAGACATATATTGAATTTGTAGGAGTGTTCAGGCTGGGTGCTCCAGGGCCTGAAGAAGCAGCTCTGTACGGTACCTTGTGCCAATAGATGCATGAAGTCAGCTGCACATTCATTCTTAGGCTTAAGGAGTTCATTTTGGAGGTACGTGGTGTTTAACAATATTGGTAACTTCCTTCAGAGATGAATGGGGGAAACATGGAATTTTTGTAGGGATTCTTCTCATTCTTGAGACCTACCTGCAAAATGAAAGAGAATTTCAGTCCATCATTGGTAATTTACAGAAAATGACTTAATTTATCCGAGAAACATCATTGTTTCAGTAGCATTTCAGTTCTACCTGAACAGATTATTTGCAACTATAAATGTCTGAATCGGCTGTTTCAAATACTTATGTTAGAATAACTCCTTGTGTGGCATTTAACTGAATTGGTGCCTATCTGTAGGCACAGAGCATGAAAGTTTTCTTGAAACATATGGCTTAAGAAAAGTTGTCAAGTACAGACAAATCCCTCATCTAGGATTTCAGGGCTGTGATTTCGGAGAGGATGTCGATAAGCCTTGCAGCAGAGTTAAGGTTAATGACTGATTTTTGGTTTAAATTATTTTTGAAGTATCTTTCATGTATATACAGCCTTTCCTCTGTTATTTGTATATAGCTCAACTCTCGATTTTATAATCTCCTGGGCAGGGAGTTGTACATATTTAGCCTGAAGTGTTTTATGTTAGACTTTAATAAACTTGTTTTGTACTTTTCCCTCACCTCGTGTCTGCTGTTTAGAACTGCAAGGGGTAACAACAAAAGGAGGAGGGAAGCAGTCTAACATAACCACCACAGCACCCTGTCAGGAAGGTTGCCCTTTGCACAGCACACACTGCAGGACACTGCATACAACAAGGTTTACCACACTTCCTTGGCAGTAAGAAACACCTGATTTGTCTGATAAAAGATATTTTGGATCAGTTCAACCCGAATTAAACATTTTGTTTCTAGACGCAGTTTAATATAAACACTCTTATGTTAGTACTTTTATTTTCCTACTGGTAAGATTTGAGGATTGGAGGTTTGGTTTTTTGTTTGCTTACTTAAGACTGCTTTGAAAGTTCACTGTTTCTGCTGAAGATGATAGTCACTCAACTCCAAATTTGTATTTTACCTACCTTATTTTTACTGAATAGTTCAACTGACAGAAGGGCTTCGTGGACCTGCACTGTACCACTGGCCTGCTGGATCAGTCATTTTCATTCCCTTTACACTGGGGTCTAAACGCTGCCTTTCTGAAAGGTGCTTTGAGTTCTGGCAGCTGAAGAAATGATTTATGCTAGCATTTTCAAAAGTAGATTCCATTTATCCTTATAACAACCACATACTGCAAGTGAATCAAAATACTGTTCTGATAAAAGTAAAGAGTTTGCTCTTCAAGTTCCTGCATTATTGCAGCTAACTGCTTAAATTCATCAAACTTGTTTAACAAAATATTTTATATTTTTGATAAACAACAAAAGCTTACTTTCTCTTTTCCCTCAGTAATGGCATATAGAGCCTAGTAGTGACACATGGACTTACTCAGACTCCTAACTCTAACAGGAATCTTGTTCCACCACATATCTGATTTGCTCTCAAGCAAATCTGCTGCTCAGCAGCAGTCCTAAATGGAAGTTTGAGCTTTCTGTTTGTTTTAATCAACACGGTCTGCCTAGCTGCACTTCAGCCCACAGAGAGACAGTAGAAATTGCTGTGGGGAAACCTGGCTGCAGGAAGGGCAGCAGCAGCTCTTTCTCTGCAGCAGCCCAGGGGAAAAGGACACCATGGTCACAGTACCCGATCCATGGGCTCTGCTGCTGCTCTGATGCACTCCCTGCATCCTCTTTAAATAAGCACTTGGTAACTGCTGACCTGAGAAGGGCTCCTAAATAGAGCTGAGCAGTGCAGCTGCTGGAAGCTCAGTTCATGCACTGCTGACGGTCAGAGTCTTCACACCACCTCTTGTCAGTGACTGCTATATTCTGCATTGCTGCTAAGAATACCTGCTGTCACTTGTAGTGTGTCACGCCATAGTGGAAGTTGTTCTCATCTCAGCACATCACTTACATGCATTCATCTGTCACCTGGCAACCAGGGAGCTCTACCCAACCATGGCACAGCAAAGGACACGCGTGCACAATAGTAATGACTACAGCAAAACAAACATGCTTTCATATTAATAGGCTTTTAATAGATTGGCCACTATTTAAAAACAAATTTTACACTTATTGGTTTGATATTTCATCTCTAATGCTATTTTAAAGTATTTCTAGACTCGTAGGGTAAAGACACTGAAGAAACAACCAGCAGTGTGTTTGATATCTGTTGTACTAGAAGACAGATAAAGTCTATGTGAGCACACCAAGATCCTACCTTAGAAACATTCTGAAACAGCTGCAATTGCCAGACTGGCATTAGCAGCAGCATTCTTCACCTCCCCATAGCTTGGTGTCCAGTAGTAATGCTTTTTAAGGCCATGGGAGAGCTCTGCAAGGTGAATGTGCCCATCCACTTCGTACGGTTCCACATCTGTGCAATCAGGTTTCAAGCGGCCTGCCTGAATTAATTCTGAAAATGCCTGAAATGAACGAAACAAGAAGCTGACATACAATATTTCACTTTGATTGTAAGGAAGGGCCTAGAAGATAAAACACGGTGGGCAAGCACTTGGTCACTTCAGTCCAGTACTCACCATACAGGCGGCTTCATCAAAGTTGTTCCCCCAAATATAAATGTAGGAGAGTTCCACATTTATTTTCATTGCTTGTGAGAGAGCTGCCAGCCCTTTGCCACTTATATTGTTGCTCACTACTGACAACCTAATAAACAGAAAATAGTTATGCAAGCATGCTAAGCCACTGCATTCCCATATCTTAGCTAAAACTCGGAGTTTTACTCAGTTAGACTTTATATAACTGTATGTATAATGAAATCTTCTATTTATCATAATGTATTAAGATATTTGTATCAAGCCCATTCCTATTAAAAATATTTTTCAGGTTGCTACAGGCAGGTTGGACTCTGGAACGGTACTGTGTCCCAAGGCACTGCCATGACTCACACAGCCAGGTTGCTCGCCATTCAGTTGTTCAGTGTCAGTGGCTTACTGTGTGGTGGCCACATCTCATCTTCTGTCTGCTCTGAAGCCCAGGCCTTGGCGCCTGGCCAGGTTAAGCTTTGATCTTTATTGTGTGGCAGTTATTTTTATATTGGTGAGCCTGGAAGGCTTTCAGAGGCACCCAGCAGCCACCACCTCCTCAGTCTGCTACTTAACACTCACGGCTTCAGGTAACACCTTTGATCAGCTTTATACCTCCTGCTGGTGCACGGCTTAATGCGTGCTACAGAATGCACACTGATGGACAGATTACAGCTCTTTTGGGTTCACCCGGAAGCTAACTTAAACAGAGGATTTTCTTAAGTGCTGAAGATCAGAATCAACAAATATAGAGCCTTAGCCTTCTATGGAATCTGCTTGGCTTAAAATTCTGAAGATGTACAGATCCTAGTTTGTTTATGCTTGAGCAACACAGGGACCTGAGCTTTAAAGGTGGGAAAAGAGCAATAAAGATCTAATAGCCTCTCTCCTGCTCCTCGAAATGAATGTAAAAATGACTGAGTCCCAGGTAAGATGGTTAGAACCATTGCAGAACCAATTTAACTTTCATCCTCACCCTTTCCCTCTCACCCTCCCACACCTATGGCTAGGCAAATGAATTCCATACTGTCACTCTTTTTTTTTTTCCTCAGCTGAACCAAGAAGTTTGGAGCTTTGTGAGTTTTCTGTTTTGACTGCTAATGTCAAAGCACAATTTTCACATCAGTTCAGCCACGGCAGAGTCTGAGTTTCTTATATTTGGAGTGTTTTTTGTCTGCAATCCCTGAGGAAGTTACTGAAATACTAACGCCTTAAGAGTCCTGTTGTACAAAGCCAAAGCTTCACTCAAGTAGATAGCTCCATCATCTTCTATTCGGTTTGAATTAAGATCTAGGATTTCCAGAGTTTGGTTCTGTTTCAGTAGTTCTCCCAAAAATTTCACATCTTCACGAGTTACTTTATTACTGAAAGAGATATGCATATATATATTTATAAAAGAGATACTAAGAAAATGAGCATCTAATGTCAGTCAAGGTTAGGTCCTGTACTAACTCTTACCAGCTAAGATCAAGGTATCTCAGGCTGCAGTTTTCATACAAGGCCTCACACAGTCGCTCTACACCAAAGCTTTTAATTTCATGCTTGCACAGATGTAGTTCCACAAGAGAAGAATTATTTTTCAGCATCAAAGCTATGTGGACTGTGGTCTCTTCCTAGAAGTAAACACTCATTTTTATTAAACTATACTTTAGGATAAGATGTAGTCTTGCTTCAGTAAAAGACACGTACAACAGCTAACCCTGGTTGTCAGTGGTGGTCTATTTGTATGTTACAGCTTTGTATTGGAAATAGCCAGGCAGTGATGCACTATTACAACCAAAAAAAGTGAAAAATAACAGAAGTATTTGCAGATTTGCAGTACTGTACATCCCTGTAAATATCAGGAGCATCAATGCTTGAATGACTTATCTTATTTCCTTCCCAGTCATTGCTTTAACAAAACTGTGGTTGGATCAGCTTTCACCAACATTAGAAGTATTTTGTCATGCCACTTATTTTATGAAGAGACACTGCTAAGAAAAGAAATGTGCCGTCACCGTAAGACACTGTACATCTACTTTGAGGTTTTGTTTATTACAAAAATAACTGCATGAGATCTTTGAGTCAATAATAAGGGAATAAGCCACAGGCCTCAGCAAATGACAGCAATGGCAAAGAGAAAGTTTCCCCCAGATACAGCCTAGGCCCTTATTTTCAATACCAGTGATGTAAATGGCCTTGTAAAACTGCAGATACGTAGATCAGACCCCTGTCTCAGAAGAGAAGAAGCTATCAGCTGTTTGAACTGTTGAAAACTTCTCTGGGATATGGGAAGATCTGCTGGCTTTCACAACAATTTGTTGTATTATCATGCAATTGGGAAAATAGAGTATGCACCTCATGCACCTGAAAACTGCTGACACTGGTGAAACAGCAGGAGCAATGAGGCACAGGAGCTGCATGCCTGCAAGGCAGAAGCTCTGGTACATGTACATACCCAGTGCCAGGGTGCTGCCTACAGCAAACACTGATCTCTCTTCAGTGCTGGACTGTTTGGGAAGCTCTTGTGTCTTTGTTTTGGATAGAAAACACATCATAGGTTTTACATTGATGAGGTTCATTCACTTGTTAAATTCAAGCTACAAGTCCACACAGTGAAACAAAACCATGGCACTGTGAATAAGGGATATTGTTAAGTGTGCCTTTCTTTAGGCTGCAGCCTCTGGCAATCGCCCATGCTCTGCTCAGATAAAAAGCAGTCTTTTGTCCTTCCCTCAGTTCCTGCTAAACAGCTTTTGTCCCTCACTTTGCTGAATGATGCACAAAACTCTCCAAGCGCTGGCAGCAAAATGAATATTTGGTTCAGTAATACCCAGCCATTTCCCTTTGCCTACTGCTTCATAAATGCATACCTACCAAGAAAAATAAAACAAAACAAAATTAACCTTCCAGTTAAACAAGGGCAGCCCGAGGCTGCATAAAACTTGGGATCAGGAAGAAAATAAAGTATTCCCACAACCAATTATCACTTCAACAAAACCCAGAGTAGCCCAGATGTCAATAAACTTATCAGTAGTGACTTTGCTTGCGCTCCTCTCTTTGCCTGAGCTGGCACTGCAGTCTATTACCTTACCTCCTGGCTGTACAGCAATGGACGATTGAGGTTTATTGCTTTGACTGCTTTGTTCTGAGTCAGGACTGATGCTATTGCTATTAGACACTGTGTACCCTGCAAATGAAAACAGACAAGTCTTGTAGATAAACCTGTCCGGTGGACAGGTCAAGCTCTCGTATTACCATGCCTTCTTGGAATGGATTGTCAGAAGATCAGAACCACTAGGCAGGCTCTGGTTGGAAACAGTATTACTTCTGCCTCCTGTACCTTGGAGAAATACAAGTGCAGCCAGCAAGTGCCTGCTGACACCAATGCAAATTTATTGTAGAACAGCAGTGCAATGAGACTAAGAACTATAAACAGCTAGAAAATTCAGCAACTCAGGAAAAAAAGAAAAAGCAAATATGTTGGATCTCCAAGAGGTACTTGTCCGTTTCATTGATCCTTACATTGGTTTTCCTGATTTGAGAAGAAAAATCAACTTGGGAGTGTTCCCTGCATCTTCAGTACAAGTCTCATCTAACACTTCTCCACTAGGTAAATGCATCCTACATGTGAATTAACATGGTACAGAACAGTCAGCCTAGAATACAGGCCAGTTTGGGATTTCTCTATTTCCTCATTTTGCTCACTAACTTCTGTTTATGTTTTTTTCTGATTAGCCTTGTCTACATTCAAAGACATTTCATTTTAAAACAGAACTGTTAACTCTCTACCAATCATACAGAGATGAAGCATCCAGGTAAGTTATAGTTGGGAAACACTTCCCTTGTTTATGTACTGGTAACATCCTCCCCAGTTTCTGGAAGGTATTCCCCCCTTCCAGTTTGGGAGAAAGTTCTGTAATTCCACAAAACAAATATTATATAATAACATCTTCAGCTGACCCCCAAATCTCTCCCTGTCTCCAGGTGACAGTCACAGCTGTTATGTTACAGTCAAACTTATTCCTTGTGCCAGTTTCTATTCTCTATTTCCCCTTGAAGTTCAGGGGACTCCCAGCACTCAACTCCAGGAGGCAGCAAGTTATCTAAAATCGAGCTGGGGGCCTTTCTGCTCAACTCAGCACTGCCACACCTATGGCATCAACGAGCTGAGCTCCAACATGAGCAACAGAACTGTGAGGAGGATAACTTGCAAGTTTCATAGTACTGCGCACTTCAGAAGGAGAACACCACCTTTCTGCAGCATCACTCAGACAGGATTTGCATGCACACACAAATATATATATATTTACTATATATTTTATATATTCCCTTAAAATATATGTGTATATATATACACACACATAAATAATGGGAACAGAAGAAACAATGCTGGAGCACATGAAAGCCAAGCACCTGAATTCCCAAGGGCAGTGGCTGCAATGTATCACTGGTTATGACCTCAGTGTTTTATACAACATGCCTTTCCAAGCACACACTACAATATTATGTAATGTGTTACCTCCAGCCATCATAAAACGCAAAACCAATGGCAACAGATGACATTTTCTCATAATCAAGCACTGCAGCACCTTTGTGATACTCCTGAAATAATTATTTCATTGCTGATGATTCTACTGATTCACTCACCACATCGCAGTCTCCAAGATCTAACTTCTCTAAGGTGCAATTAACTTGCAGCATTGAAGCAAAGTACATTCCACCCTTATTGCCTATTTTGTTTCCAGTCAGTCTCAAATGCAGAAGAGTTTCATTGCTCTGGAACAAAATCAAAAGAAAAAAAAAAAAGGTAAAATCATTTTCTTTCAATTCTCTTAATAAAAATATCACTGCCCTTTTTCCTGTGGATCCTGCTCATTGTCACACACAGACAAAAGGTCCCTCCAGAAAAACTGTGCCCAAGAGATAGCACTAAGCAGCTGAAAACAACCCAGGCAGGTATTTCTGCATTAACTGGCAATGCACAGTCCTATCATACAGTCTCAGCATTTCAGGCCTCTCAAATTTAGTTGAGATTAGAAGATTAGTTCAAAGACCACGAAGAAGGAAGGAAGAGCCCACGTGAGTCTCACTTCATAGACAAAACAAACCTTCCATGCTAGCCTCGTTTCCTTGGGAAACCACGTTAAAAATAACAGACATTTTCATGCTGCTGTGAGGCAAAGCTTTGAAAACCTGTCTCAGGCATCTAGAATCAAGACATTTGTTGACATTGAGGTACAGGCAAATTTCACACCCAATTCTAAAAATTCATAACCTAAGGAAAACCTTGATGACGTTCTACACCCTACAGCACAACAACGCTTTGCACACAGAAAATTATCACACAGTTGTGATAATTAAGTACTAATGGCAGCACAGGGCTACTTTCTCTTGTGTGAAATCTGATTTCTGAAGTCTGCCTTGGGAAAACAAGCAGTCGCTGTGTTACAGCAAAGAGCTGAGCAGCAGAGGACAGAGGGCTCTTTCAGCCAGCTTTATGTTGGCAGGACAGCTCGTGCTGCTCATCAGAAGCAGAAAATATCAAGCAAGATGCCACTGTCTAAATCTCCTAGACGAATACTCACATGGAGAGCATTTGCTATCAGCTCAGCTCCACTCGTGCCAATATCGTTAAACATCAGGTTAAGGTATCGCAGAGTTGAGTTTTCCTTCAGAAGAAATAAAGCAGAAAGCAATGAGAATTGCTTCTATTGCACCCTGCACTTTTCAAAAAGGAGACATGCTATACATGTACTTACAACCTCTGTCCTGCACCACATTACAGGCAGCCCCTGATGTGGAAAATAAAGAATGCTAAAGTACATCAGATGAGTAAATCCTCACAGTCCTATGAGAGCCACTTAGGAGCCCAGGGGATCAAACAAGGCAGGTGAAGCTCAGATACAGACCTGCAGGTATTTTGGGAATGCACAGATGCTGAATTTACAGTCACTTTTTGATCTGTGTGCCAGTGCTTACAATTGTAAAAAGGCAGCATTAAAGTTTAGTAAGTTTAGACTCACAGAAAGGCTGAGAAGGGATAAAATACATAAAACAAAGGCCCTGGCACAATCCACGCTACCATTACATCCTTCGTTGAATTGAATGTTAGCTTAAAAACTCCTGGCTTACTGTCTTGCTCTTTTTTCAGACATACTAATATATCTTACACCATCAGAAATTCAAAGACCACAATCTGAGATCCTAACAGGAGAGATTTGGATGCAAAAGTCAAATTAATGGAATTCTGCCAAACCAATGCAGTCTTGGTCTCCAATACACCACAGAAATATTACCATAGCCAAATAAACCACACTTCTGAAATAGAAACATTTTGGCACCTGGAGGAACGTTGCCACGTGCCTTACTCCAACATCAGTCAAATCATTATATCTCAGATCCAAACCTGAAAAAGATTGAGAATAATGCAAGAGGTGCATACCTACAATTAACTTATCTGTAAACAAAAAGAAATAAAGATGAATTAAGCTGAAACGGAGATTGCTTATATTTTCTTTTATATTTCTTCTATTTTTTTGTGTGTGAAATTTGCTGCCCGGTGATAAACCAGCACAATATGAGCACTGACATCAGACATGTAAAGATACTTACCGGTGACACATACAGCACAGCGTAAGACAGAGGCAAGAACTTGAACATCTTCATCTGTCACTCTCTGCACAGGCACTAAGCGATTATTTCCAGCTATTTTTAACGTGATCCCTTTTGTCCATCTGCTGTAACACAAACGTGTAACCACATAAGAAGGAAAACATTAGTAAAAAGAATTCTTTCTTCAGGTTAAGAGATGCATCCCTATTCACCCTCCCCGGTGTGCCTGCACGTGGTCAGCTATCCATCTTGTTACTCTGAAGATACTGCACAGCTACACGACCACAAGCGCACAGAGAGCAGGAAGCAGAAAGACAAGAGAAGCAGAGATGAAAATAAAGAAGACTATCCCAGGGTAACCTCATCTGTTCCTTCTTTCCTTTATCTGTTCTATCCTGCCCCAAAGGCAGAACAGCTAACCCAAACTACTGCCCAACCTTGTCTTCTCCTGTGTTCTCTCTCCAAAAGACAATCAACTCCAACCCCAGGTGCATCCCTGAGAGAAAGGTCTATCTGATCACAAAAGGAGAAGCCATTTTTGTGGTCAGCACCATGCCAGGACTCACAGACAGTTCAGGAAAGCACCATCAGCTGGAAGCTAACTGGATGCAGCTGAGCCTTTTTAAACGGGAGCGAGAAATCAGGAAGGGAGTTAGGATGGCTGAATAGTGAGTTGGGCTTCTCTAAGGGATGTAAAGTTACCATTCTCCCCATTTTTCACTTTTTTGATTTTATTGCTTGTAAAGCTGCCCAGGAGGGATATACAGTTACAGACTTGCCAAGATGATGTCAGGATGAGTCAAACCAGAACTTCTGCAGTAAATGTTAAGTGCAATTTGTGTTCAAGCCTTAAACTCCACAAACTTTCCCACTGCTCCAATTCTTGTCCTACCATCTTGTTTAAGGAGTTCAGAAGTATCTGAAACATGCTGATGGTTATTTTCTTACATATTATCATTTTTATCGGCTTCTTGAAGCACACGAGCAACAAAGTGATTTTCAGGTTGGCTCAGGTTTTGGCAAGTCTGCAAATACTGCTGATGAAGATCTGGAGGAACAGACATGACGTGCCTGAAAACAAAGCAAACAGTTACTGCATCGCCATGGCAGCCTAACAACGTTGCCATGGACCCAGTTCTGTTGTGCCAGGGGGTGTGCAACAGTAAAAATGGGTCCTGCTACAAAAAGAATTGCAGTTATCAGAATAACTGAATTATGGACATACAGATGGAAAAAAGAAGGAAAAAAAGTGGCCCTGATGTGGCATCACAGAGAACATGAACAGCTAGAAGTAATGTTCATAAAGACAGGTCTCTTTCCCTTTTGTAAAAAGGGCAGCGTCCTGCGGTCTGTGATGAAAGTCGGTTCTGTGTGTGATGCTGCTATTTGAGAAAGCCCCAACAAGAAGCTTCGGGACGAATCCCAGCCTCACAGAGTGCTGCAACACCCCCAGCAAACTGCCCTCCTGCCCTGCTCTGCCTGAGGCAGCCGTGTCTGAGCTTACCAGCCAACATGAGACTGCCCTCCCCACATACATCCACACCGCTGAGCTGAGCCCATTACCACACAGCTGATGTCCAACGCAGGGTCTGGGCGCCCAACGGAGCAGGAGCCCCTCTGCTGCCCACCTCAGAGGGGAAGCCTGGTGCTGGGCAGGGCATCACACTTCCATGCTAACACCAGCCTCACTTATCCTTGCACTGTTTACTGAGTGCTCTGCCCACACCCTCCGAGGAGGTTTGGCACAAATCAGTGTGTTTACAGGGTTGTGTGCTTCAGAAGTGCACTTTCCACTCAGATCCTCCCCCTAACTCCCACATGACCCAAGGCTGAGCTGGGATCCCACGCTCCCATCGCCCCACAGGATGCTCACTCCTTACCGCTGAAAGAACAAAAAAGAAACGCTGCTGTACAAAGCTTCAATGAGACCACAAAGCTTAGCATGGCTCTCCCTACATCTCACTGACCTTTGGTTCTTTCCCCTCATCCTGGTCACCCCTGATGTACCAGGGGTTGGCAGCTTCCTCCTGACTGCAGCCCCCACTCCCTTCATCAGCTCAAAGCTACCACCATTCACGCCCAGAGACAGCAGAGGTCAGCCAGGCCTTTCCATCTCTCACTCTTTTACAGTCCACATTCTGCAATTAAAGGGCTATTGAATATCAGGTTCTGGTATCTCCCTGTTATAGAAGACCCCTTTCCTAAGAATCTTTGCAAATGAAGACCCACGGAGGTTGTTTCGTTCAGCCCCACTGACTTCACAAAGGCCACCCTCTGATTTGGCATTTTGGGGTTCTGGATTCAAAGTCACAGTCACACTTGTACGTATTGCAGATGTCGACATCAAGGAATGTAAGCAGCTTTTGCAGGGGTACAACTGACAGTAGGTAGGACCTGTCCCTCAGTCTTAACTTCTTTCACTATTTATTTAGTGTTTGAGTACTGCTGATTTTTATTTATTTATTTTTTTTCTCTTCTGAAATTTAAAAGTAAGAATTACAGATGGCTGAGTCTCAGCAGAGCATGGAGCTCAGTGCAAAGGACACTCATCACCCTAAAGGTGACCCCATTGGCTTTGAGGATAATCACATTACGACTGCACAAGAAAAACCAATGAATGAAGTACCAGAGAATGAAGGTCTGATTCCCAGGCATGCCACAGATAGGATTTTTTTTATTGATTTAGCCAATAAGCAGCTGCAAATCATCCCACCTGAGGTCTTCAGTCTAGAGCATCTGGAAGAGCTGCACATGGAGAAGAACCTGATAGTGAACATCCCGAAAGAAATAAAACTCCTGAAGAACATGAAGGTTCTCTACTTGGATCACAATCACATACGGGAAATATGTGAAGAGCTGGGGATGTTGAAAAGTATTCTGAGCTTAGATTTAAGTAACAACCCCCTCTCTTACAGTTCTCTGCAGGTAATCAGCAACTTGCAGTCCCTTCACCAGCTCAGGCTCTACCAAATAAACTTGCATGAAATCCCAGTGCAGATCTGCAAATACCTCCATCTCATTGAACTTCTTGGGCTTTCTGACAATCATCTACAGTGTCTGCCAAAAGAAACAGTGAACCTGAAAAAACTCAAGGAAATTTACCTCAAAAACAATAGATTTGACAAATTTCCCATCGAGCTTTGTAAAATTGTTAGTTTAGAAATAATAGATCTGGAACAAAATCTCATCAGTCACATCCCAGAAGAGATAGGCTCTCTGACAAACTTAGTTAAGCTATTTTTAGCTTTTAATAACTTATCTTCCATTCCTCCCACGCTGCAACACTGCCAGAAGCTGGCGGTGCTGGATCTGTCTCATAATCCCCTGCACAAGCTTCCCCCAGTTTGGAACAATCTCGCTGAAAAGAGTGAACTCGGCCTGTCTGATAACAGCCTGGAAGAGCTGCCAGCCCAGACAGGCTCTTGGACATCACTTACCCATGTTTATCTAAGGAACACTGGGCTGCACAGAGTGAACCTGTCCTGCACCAGCCTAACCAGCGTCAGGGTACTCGATCTGAGTGAAAACTGCTTTGATGAAATTCCCAAAGGAATATGCTCCATGAAAAACCTGGAGATATTGAACCTGGATGACAATCAAATACAGGAGGTATTTGCTCCTATCTTTTCACTCTTACTTCACTGAGACCTTCCTTTTGCAAAGTCTTACATTACAACCAAGAGCTGCCTTCTGCTCAAGTGTGAAGATGCACTCCTGGCATGCACTGAGCCTGGGTAACACTGACACTGACAGCTGAGACAGAGAGGGAAAAGCAAGAGCATGGAGACACTTACTTTCGTGCTGAATCACATAGATGAATACTGACTGGAGGAACTGCTGTCAGAGTTGGCTGCTTTATTTCATCATCTTTCTGTGTAAGCTGGAAAATAAGAGCTGCGTTTCTGTAGAATCAATGCATCAAAAACTGAAACAGAGCAGAGGGCAACATTAAAATAGATGACATATTGTGAATGCCTTTAAAATCATTACTATCTGCTAATTACTTGATAATGAACAGTTAAGTACTTTAAAGTATGACATACTCATTTGAGGGCTTATACCTCCCTTATTAAGTAATGCAACTCTACTCTCCCCCCAGGAGATTTTCACTTGTGCGATTTTCTCTGTGAAGGTTCCCTTTAGACAAGCAGTAATTCACACAGAAGAATCTCTTTCAGGTTTGATTCATTTCAATGACTCTCCCCTGCACTGAGCTTACAACAGAAGTGAAGAAGCAGACAAACATTTCTGCTAAGAATAAACCACATAAGAAATCTTTCCAGCAGAGGAAACAATATGATTTTTCCCCCCACCTTTCCACCACACTGTGAGATATAATGTTATATTAATGAGTAGAACATTCTCTGCTCATCCATCAATAACAGTGAAGCTCCATAGCTTTTCCTAGAGATTTTTCCCTAAAGACAAATCCCTACGATGACTGTTTAATTGACATAATGTATCTTTAATGATTGTGTCCAGATACCAGCAGAAATACAAGAACTGACAAATTTAAAATGCCTCAGCCTGTCCAAAAATCAATTCAACAACTTTCCAATGGAAATCTTTCTCGTGGAGTCATTAGAGAAATTATATCTGGGACAAAATAAAGGAGTTAAACTGACAAGTCTGCCAGAAGATATCATCAAACTGCAGGTAGGGACAACAGGAGGAGGTGGGGGCTGAGTGTGTACTGTGGCTTGGCCCTTCAGCTGCTCCCAAATGCAGAAATGAAGGTCCTCCTTAATTTTTTTAGGGCTGGTGCAGCATCAGGCCAGGTCTATCAGAACAGGAAGAACATCAACAGTCAGTGTTTAAAACTTAGCTTGTCTCTTTCTATCAGGCGGTTATCCCAACGATGCCTCAGCTTTTAAAGCTAATTTCTCCACTTGCTGATATTATCCGTACATTGATAATATAACCAGCTAAAGAAAAATCCTTTAATTATGAAAAGTTATTATGCACACATATTTTCCAGAATCTGAAAGAACTGCATATAGAGAATAATTGTCTGGAGCACCTGCCCCCAGCTGTTGGCTCACTGACCAACTTGAGAATACTCGACTGTCACAACAATCTCCTTAAGAAGCTCCCAGAGTCTCTAGGCCAAATGCAAGGTGAGAAATCATCTTGGTGTTAGCCCTAAGGACCTAATTCTTCCGGAAGGAGGGAGAGAAAGAAGGCAGAACACTGTTTGGTGCTGGCCCAGCAATCAGTAAGGGACAAATAGGAGAGAAGTCATGAGGTGAGAGGGTGAAGGAAATGCTGTGCCCAAGCTCAGAGGACTGGGGAGATTCCTGGGGCTCAGCTCCTAGCACACCACTGGCAGGAAAAGACCTGGCGGGCAGTGATGAGGAACATGCTTTCTGTCCTCCAGTTCAGTCTTTCTATCTTCCCCTGTTCTCCAAATCATCTCTATGTATGGCAAGCTCAACAGTGCTGTCATGCACAGTATAGCAGATTTGGCCACCAGACTGCCAGTCTTCAACTATAAAGATGAGCCTTGCTAGGAGAGACTGAGTCCCATCCCTCCACACTTGGGAGAGGTAATCTGAATTTTATCCAGTGCCCTTGATGGGATGTTTAGTACTCAAACTCCTAATAAGCACAGACTGAATTGTTTATGCCTCCTCCATATGCTGTTCTACAGGGAGAATGCAGGGGTGCTTTGCATCATTCCTGTCCTTCGTATTGCAGCTCTCTGCTTTTGTGTGCTCAGGTTTGCAGAAACTGCTCCTTCAGAACAATCAGCTGTCCAGGCTGCCTGAGGATTTGAACAGCCTGAAGCAGCTGCAGGAGGTCCTTGTGGACGGGAACCCTATGACAGACCCTCCCATTGAAGTGTGCAGTCAGGGGACATCTGCCATTCTGCAGTACTTATGGCAAAAAAGACATAAAAAAGCCAAGGCTTCAAAGGTAGGTGTTTTAAAGCAACCACGATGTACGTATGTATGTACAAAGCAGTGCTTTTAGTGATCAGAGATACTTTAGAGCAACCTACAGGGCACTCTGCAACACATCAGCCACCAGCTTTGTCCAGTGATAGGGGCATAGTCACTGTGCCTAAACTCAAAGTAGGTCCAGCAAGTCTGGGCACTGCTTGAAGATGAATCTAACTGGCACCTTGCTGTGTTCTGACTGTAGAGAATTGAAGTTCTGGCGTGCAGACACACTGAACAAAACATATTTTGTTATCAGATTCTGCTGTCGTCGTTTTGTTTTGTTTTCCCAAAAGATCAGTCTGCATCACTAATAGAACATGAACTGAATTAGCTCAGAAAAAAACGAGGCAAGGAAGGAAAGGCAAACAGTCCTCGATTCTTCTGAAACTAAAAATCTCCCTCTCCTGTAGTGTCTGCTATTTCTTCATGAATTAATGTGTTTCTCACAGACTATTCTTCCAAACTTAGTGGTGGCATTTAAAAATGTGAGGCCACTGCCATTTACTCCTCAGAGGATCTGGAGGATGACAGCGTTGGTCTCCTCCCTGATAAGGAATTCCTCTTGAAAAAGTAACACACGATAAAAGAAAAGTCAGGTGGCAAGTGGACAAGCTGCAAACAATGTACTCTAATGCAGAGTTGTTTTGGAGGCCATAACGTGCCTGGCTTTTATCCATTTCCTCAAGGTAACCAGACTATGTTCTCTCTCAGATCCAAAATATTTGGCATGGGCTGATTACAAAGAAGGGGATCAGACCTTTCTTGGCATTTAAAAGTATGGCAGACAAAAGAAAGGAAAAGAAAGGAAAAGAAAAAGGAAAACAGAAGTCTGGAAAAGAAGCAAAAGCCAAAAAGTGATTCTTGTGCAGTAAGCTGAACAGAACCCTGTCAGCTGCAAGAGAGAAGTGAGTACAAAACAGACAGCATTAAAGCATTTGCATCAGTGGATACTCTAATGAAAACTGGTGATTTTTTTAGGGCTGTTTCTGAACTTTCAGCTACTTCAGCTGAATAAGGCAGATTCTGAAACAGTCTGGGATTTCTCATCCTGAATGGATGTTATCTTGAAGCACAGAGGCAGATGATTAACTGGAAATTAATCTCATCTGCAGGAATCCAGTGCAATGAACTGTTTGTTGTTATGAATTCCAAGTATTTTACATATAATCCTTAGAAAGTTGTTTTCCAGTTGGTGAGGTTTGTCCATATCTAGACTATAAACCATACCTGTAGCCTTATACATACTGGCACTTATTTACTGTCTTTTATGTTTACAAACAAAACCTTGTTTGGAATCATGGAGGAGGATTCCCAGCAGTCAGAACATACCCACACCTGCCATGATCTGCACAACACTTCTGCCTTACAGGAGTGTGAAAAGCTGTTTCAAAGTACCTCCAAGTATCTCCATCTTCTGCAAAAATGTTCCCTAACGTTTTGACAATCTTAGTTGCAGTGTTGTGAATGACTGCAAGCTGTCAAATCCTAGTGCTACAGCCCAGCTCTGAGACGGCTTGCTTACAGTTTGTAAGATGTCTGTGTACAACAGGTTTACTTGAAAACTGCGAGTGTGCAAAATGCAGCATTTCACAATGGCTCTGCATCCTGCCATGTAAGAACACGGTCACAATGCTCCCAAAGCACAGAGCTAAACTAGGCAAACTGCTGTGCAGAGTCAAAATGCACAAGGGAGCAGGTCTCTCTACTTAAACTGAGCAGAACTTCAGACCTCTCTCCCTGGCCATGCCTGAGCTCTACCAGAGAACAAGGAGCTGGTGGCACCCCGAGGAAGGAGGTGAAGATGAGGTGAAGCTCACTGAGATTCAGCTCTCCCAAGAGCTCCACCTCCAGGTCATGTTCTTCTGAGCCACATCTGCATCCAGGGCGAGGGTCTTATTTCTGTTTGGCTCTTGAGTCTGTTGTCACAGAAGTCTCACTAATAAGCTTCTTGGAGAAGTGGGGACTATTAAGTGCAGAAAGGTGGGATTGCTCAGTTTTGGTTTTCCATCTCACTAGGAAACTGGTGCTGCTTTGACAGCAGAGGCAACTGAGGAGGAAAACATTGGAAGGGGCACTTCTGGGAAGACTGACAGACAGGATAATCAAAATGATTTAGTAAAAGACTTTTGTGGCAGAACAGGCATGACAGATTCATGAGTGGGCAAAGGACTGGGAAGGGAATATAAAAAAGCAAGTGAAGAAATTGCAAACAGTACATCCTTACTGTGCCCTGAAAATGAGAGAGAGGAGCCCAAGAGAGTGAAGTCCACCTCAGTCTGAATTAAGAGAGGTTCAAGGGAGAGAGGAGTGATTCACAGAGATCCCCATAGAACAAAGGATCGTTTCTCCAGATGGAGCAAAGGCAAATTGGAGAAGGAAAGTCCCATTAAGACAAGTGATTGAAAGAGAAGGTTGGTGAGCTGCTGTGAAACAGAGCTGATAGTGTTTCCACATTAAAATAACTCTCCTGCCTTGAATAACAGTTTGAAAGGCTCCTTTGTTAGCTCTGTACGAAACAGGGACTCTTTGCTTCTCTTCAGGGGTTGAGCAAATCTGCACAAAATAACCAATCCCACTTTGCAGCAGTTCACTGCTACCTCTGACCACGACACTCTGGTTGATCTCGCTTTCCTCAGAGCTTGTGGGATCCAAGTGCACTTTTCAGTGGAACTGAAACTGAAACCAGGAAGCCCGGGAAGACCCTCGTGAAATCATGGATTAAACAATGGAGAGGCATCAGCACAACGTGGTTAGCTGCTACTGATAAACTCAGAGCCAGTCAGAAGCTGTGTTAGAGGTGTCACCCAGATTGAAGGCTGAGTATTGTTCTGTGCTGAAGGGATCTGGGCAAGCAAGGAAAGTGCCAGCTGATGATTCTCTTGTGCCTCACATCCAGGAGATTGCTGCAGAGTGAAGACAAACTCAGGGCTAATTGAGCAGTACTTTATCCCTCAGGATTTCTCTAAGACTCCTCACTCAGTGGGCAGATCTAATATCTTTACTTCCTAAAATACCTTACGGATGAATAATCCCAGTGCAGCCTTTGAGCTCACATGTGGGTTAAGATGTTCCATGACATAAACGAGTATGCCAGAATATGGTTCTGTGCAAGCAAATCCAATAAGAAATCATCATTGTAAAAAGAAGAGCCACTTATATGACCCAAGTGGGTACATTTTCTAACATTTTGGGTGCAAAGCAGGGTGGTTTGCTTCTAGCTTGAAGCTGCCCTGCGGCTTTTAATAACAGCTTTTGCTCCCCTGGATAGATTTCCTCCACGTTTAGGATAAGAATAAGAACAGCTTATGCCACAAAGTGTTTTAAAAGCTAACGGATTAGTCTTGAATGCAGAAAGATTCAGATTGTTGCTAAGATAGCAGGACTTTCCTGATCTACCCCACTGCAGTATTTCCCTTGTCTGAGGCTTGCAAAGACACCAACCAAATGTTTCTTACCTTGATTTTATGCTGATTCTGTATGCAGGATTCATCTATGCTATCAGATGGCACTGAGAGCCATAGCAGAGGCAGAACAACTCCTGCTGTTTTCTTCTTACTGGACTCTGACATATACTCCTGAGCTGCTGGGATGTTTTCCAAATCTCACAATAATGTATCTTTAATGCATTCACAAAAATTAAAATGTATGGGGGAGGGGGAACAAAATTTTAAAACACAGAGTTTCAGATATTTTTGCATTAGAAACATCTTCCTTGTATGTGTAATTACACTGCCCATCCATCTGCATTAGTGCATACTCCACTCATTTCCTTGCACTGGCAAACCTGCCACGTATCTATCTGAAATTGTCACTGCTCCTTTGGTATCAGTCATTGCAGTATTCACAACTGGAAGCTTAAGCACATTCAGTGGTGTCACAATAGCAGAGTAAGCATGGCCCAGAGAATCTGAAAGAATATGTTATCGAGGGGAATAATCTACGTGTGTAGGAAGTTGAATAACTGTTTTTTATATAAATTTGGAACTATTTCAAGCAGTTTTCTAAGTGAGAGACACGCAATACTTAGTTCATATGTTGCTTGTGAAAGGCTTTCCAGAAACCTCCAGCCTCCATCAACAGTCAAAACGAATGTTTCTTTTGTTGTCTCGATTAAAGCCTTCCAGCTGTTTACGCTGCGATTCTGAAAGGACCCATCTTTGCATGCCCAGCTCTGCCAATGCAGGCAGCTTTGTCAGTGCTGCTAACAACTCACTGAACCACGTCCCACAGGCACGGCAGGACGATGGACGAAGACTGACATCCAGCTCTGAGAGTTCTTTGAATACTGTTAAGCCTTGACAGAAAACCATCCACCCTTCATCAGAGATGGTGTTATTGTAACTCAAATCCAGCTTCTGTAACCTGGCTAGGTGGCCATCGTGTGACAGTAATGCTGCAAGAAATAACAAACATAATCAATACACCCTGGCAATTGCTTTAAAAGCTTGTAAGTAAGATGAGTATTTTAATACCATGTTATTTAGAGTCTTTAGGCAGTCAAACAGTGGGACTCAAACATAAAACTGTATGGCAACCTGAAGACCTTGAAGTCAGTTGGAGGATATGACAGGTGCCAATTAAAATAGACAGGCAGGCTTTATAGGGAGATTTAGGAGAACAGCAAAACTCGGTGAGTTTGCATGATTACAACAGCCACCTCTCACTGTGGGAAGGTAATGGCCCTAATATACCCTAAAGGTAGCTGAGATCCTTAATGGATATTCAACAAAAGAGCCACCTGTCAAGGGTGATGTTTGTAAAGTCAAAAATATTCAGGCTTTTTCTCACCAGCCTCCAGGTTACAGGGCCCTGATAGCAATCACACAGCTATTGCCAATCTCAGACACTCAAAACCCACGAGTCGGGCCCACAGAATCATAAGGATGCCTTTAAAATGAACAGGTTTTCAAAACAGTTCTGAAATTCATTCCTTCATTGGGTTCCCATCTTCCAGCGTTTTTAGCAGCTGCTGAGAAGTGGGCTAAAATATTTCCATTTTAATTCTCCCACCACAGCTGGACTCCAGAAACACACCTAATGGACTGAGAGCTGGTAGCGCCTGCCTTACTGGCTGTCAGCATGTACATTTCTCATCAATCACTGACCCAAGAAGAGTAACTGAGCAAAACAGAACTCCTCAGAGGCAGGTTGAAAAACGTGATATAAAAAACAGGGTTGAACCATACATTTTTTCCATATGCTGCATTTTTGTATTAACACATAAGACTGCTAAGATGATTCTTTGCATTTTTATCCATTTCAGTCTTTGCACTGTGCGTGTTTGGGACACAGAGCTTTCAGCAAAATGAAAATACTTTCCGGGAAAAACAGTGCTGTATTTTCCATCTTTTCACTTGATTTGTCCAAAAACGTGCTCAGCACATGGAACAAGTCCCTTCTGAACTGTGGTCTGTGTGCACTGGCTCCTTGACTGCTTGTAAATGCCATGTTATACGTACTTAGAAGCGCCAAATCTTCAGCCACCAAGTTACAGCTGCTCAGTCTTAACACTTGAATCTCCGTTGCAAGCTTTAGTGCTCCCAAAAGCAGCTTTAGGTTTCCACCAACGCACTTATTCCAAGAAAGGTCTAATATCTCCAGTTCAGGAAGGTGAAGGGCAGCCTCAGCTGAAAAGATTAAGACCAGCAACTTCTGCTTACTAAGAGAAAACAGCGTGGCCTCAACAGACACCTCACCAGCAAGTCACCTGCCAATAGGCTCCTGACAGGCTGCCTATCTATGCTTAAAATGACTTATTTTGTCCTAATAAAAGTCAGACAAAAAAAAAAAGAAAGTCTCTCCTGTGTTCATTAAACAGTGTAACAAGGGCCTGTCTACAGACTCTTCAAGGTCTCTCAGAAGAGCTTTCTTTCCTTTCTGTTTGCATTATTGACTTAACCTTGTTCCACTGAAGTCAATTTAATACAATGGCACACTTTAAAAACATTTTGAATTCACCTAAACCCAGAAATTTTTGGCAGTGAATTGGCCATTCAAGGCAAAACGCAGTGTATCTTTGACAGCACTGATTTCCACGTGCCATTCTTCCATAACTGGAATGACATAAACATGGTACTCTTTCTGCAGGGACCTCAGATCAGTTCAGCTTGATGCTGCTTCTGCTAAAGGCAGCCAAGTTTCACTGAGGGTTTAGTGTCACTAATAAAGGGTATCAAACGTACAGCAAATGCACAATGCATTCTAACAGATCCCTCTGTAGTAGGTTTTGTGTGCCATATGGAACTCCTATCAAAGGAACAGTGCAGCCACTAATCCACTGAGATTTGCAATAAGTAAGCAAAAGAGGTTGCATTTACATATCCTGTGTTAGTTGGGCTTTTCTTCATTGGCTGTGCAGTATCTTTTCCACTACTGCAGTCATTTTCACAGCTCCTCCATTGCCCCACACTTCACTGTAAGTCAGAAAGTTTCTACTTTATCTGTAGTGAGAGCAAAAAAAACCCTTAAATCTTGACCTTAATAAACTGCAAATGCAGATTTACAGTAAAACTGCAATTCTAGCGTAATGTGAGTCTTGCTCTGCTACCTTCTCTTCCAATTATAAGAAGTACATGAAAGCTCACTAACAGATAAAGGACTAAAAGCACTTCATTCAGTCAGGTGAAACAGGAAGACATACAACGACCTTCCCTTGCAACCAGGTCCCATGAAACACTGGCTTCATCATAAGGCAAAACCAGAGGAGAAAGCGACAGTTACTTTTCCACTCAGGACCTGCACTGTAATGTAACCACTGTTTTTGGAGTTCAGCCAACAGAGAATGAAGTGTTTGGTCCCACAGGGAGACCCTGAGAATAGACACACTTTAAAAAAGCATTCCTACCCAGTGATGAAAAGGACTCCTTGCCTAATCCACAATTGCTGATGGCCACAGATCTCAACTTCGGTAAAAATCTGAGTCTGCCGAGAAGAGGATCAGATGAGACTCCTATGTTTTTATTCCAGGATAAATTCAGCTCTTGAAGACTGGAGAGTAAAGGTATCACCTGGGCTTTGAAGACATGAAGTGTTTATGAGTCACTGATACAGAACTAATGTCGTATATGTCAGTATATTTGACTGACATCACTACTTGTCTTCAGAAACCAACCCAGAAGTCAAGGCCAAGTTTTGATACTCAAACATACTTTGAGTAATTCTTGCTTGTCATTTTCCGTAGGAATGCTTAAGAAATTAGGTATCATTAGACACTGTGTTGAAGGTTGTCAGGACACAGTTTCCTGCCAGCATTTTCCAGGTGAAGTTGGGAATTGAATATTAAACAAGAGGGAGGATTAGTTCTAAAAGTCTTCACTGCTAACCTCGACCACTTCGTATTAATGTGATTGTTCTCTATTGATTTTAGTATGTGCAGACGAAATATTAAAAATAACAATTGATTTTAATAATAACAATTCCCAGTACTTCATCAGCAGCTTTTCAAATCGCCTTCTTCACAGTGGCAAATAAGATTTAGACAGTATGGATTCTGAGCCGTGATTTTTTGCTGTTCTAAAAAGTAGAAGCTTTTTATCAATAATATCAAAAAGTTGTGATAATGCACACAATAAATAAGCTGTCCCACTGATTGAATGGGAGAAATGTTTTCCTTCCTAATAGTACTTAGGAGTTAGAGACCAACATCATTCTCCACTTCTGAGCTCACTGAGGTAATTTTAGGCAGTTGTATTAGCATGCACATAAAAGCCTCGGATCCATGCCAATACCAGCAGTGAGATTGCTTGGACATTTCCCAAATTACTGATCCTCAGCAACAGGATTTGGGGGTGGTTCCTACCTTCACATCATGGGTCTGAATCATGGCAGTTTGAAGCCCTTAGTTCCGCATGGGATCGGCCACTGTGGGACTTCTTTTGATATAGAAAAAACCCCCCACTCCACATTGATCAAGGAAGCTATCCCCTGAGCTGCACTTCCAGAGCTGCCTCACAAAAAATGAACTGAGATCTGCTAGACTGTGTTACACAGAATCTCTTATGCCTTTGAAGTATTTTCAGAAGTCAAAACCATACATTCTTAAATCATTTCCTCAAGACATCCTTACACAAAACGGTCACGTCTTCTTCTGTTACACAGCACTGGTGGAGGTCAAGGACTTCGAGATTTTTCAAGCTGGCCAAATGAGCTGCTGAGTCTTTAAAGCCACCACCAATCTCTTTGTTACACGATATGTCTAATTTTCTCAGTGCTGTAAGGTGCTGTAAAGCAGTGTCTGAAAAGGAAACGACAGCAGGCTGGTCACTGACTGCTACAATAGCACGGGTCACAGCTTCAACATTCATTTACTTTAGTGTCAGATTCTGCACAAAGTATCGAAGGCAAAGCTTTTAGACTAAGCTTCAGCATATAATCACAGCAGACACAGTAACACTGCAAAGCTTCTGCACCCATGCTACTCCATTCTTCTCTAAAAGAGCAGGTGAAGGTGAGGTTAATTCATCCCCAGATCCATTCAATCCTCAGCTTTTTGCTGAAAAGGCTATTGGAAGTGCTAATTAGTGCCAGTTGTTTTGTCTTACGGATAAGACCTCCAGGAGGGAGAGGCACAGATAATAAGCCCATTTCGTATGGCTTCACCGGACAGTCATTAAGTGATAATGGCAGGTTCGGATTCCCCTCTGAAAGTAGGATTAAGCCTTCAGAAGTTAGCTAGACTGTCTGTGCCCTTGTCTATGTTCTGTCTGCAGAGGGAGGAAGCCCGTCCAGAGAGCCATTAATGTGCCCTAAGATGTGTCTCAGATAAATGATGTGGAAGGTGACTCTCCCCACTGACTTTCACATGCTTGAACTCGGGGAAGATAAATGCTACTCCTGCAGAAAGTCTCTGTAGTCTTTTATCAATCCTCAAGCAGCAAATAACCATCGTCCATTGATACTGACAGACCATCAGCAAAAGTCTACCGCGCTGCCTTTCTGAAATGGGTTTCAGATGTACAGTTTATGCAGAATGAAAGACTTTCTGAGTCTAAAGTCTAACCTAAGCCCTGGAGGCCGTCCTGCTTTAATCCACACATGTGCAAGTTCAACTCCTTGAGGCCCGGTACATTTCTCAGATCCTGAGCAATGACCTTCATGCTGCAGCCAATGTGTTTGTTGATAGAGAGATCTAATACTTCAAGGTTTGGGAGCACATTTAGTATTTCAGCTGGCAAGAAAAAAAAAGAAAACTGGAATTGGTAATTGTCTGGAACATACAGATGAGTCTTAGAAAAGAACAGCACGATGACAAACAGGAAAAGGCAGGCTGGATCTGCCTATACACGTGATTTAAACTTTCCAGGTTCCTATTCTACCAAAAATACAGCAAAACATTGATTAGATAGAAATCAAGAAAATCAGTCAAAACCCATATAGAAAAAGAAATCTGAAAAAAAAAAAAAAAAATAGAAGACAGTAAGAAAAATGTAGGAGAATAAAAAGCAGGAATACAAAGAGAAAGAAAAATTTCTAATGAGAAGATATAGGACTGTATGTGGCATGGGAGCCATCTCCCACAGTAAAGATCAGAACAGAGCACAGGCACTTCTCTTGAGGGAGAGAATCTTTTAAGAAACTCCATCAGATCAAAAGACCACATAAGATTAAGATATGATAAGAAGAAAGAGGGGAGAGGTGGCAACTGGAAGCCAACTCAAATTCCTATCCCTCAGGCCTTTTTTTACTGTCTGGTAAATACTGCTATAACACAAAGCTTGAAATGAATAGCTTTCTACTAAGATGGACCTCCAACCAGCCATCATCTCACTCAACCGAGTTGCATCTCTGTGAAGCCAGTCTTTCAGTCCAGCTATGTGGATGCACACACCGAGGGATTCTCCATCTCTGGCCGTCAGGTTACAATCTGTAATTTTCAGGAGTTTAATCTTGCATCCCTTCCGAAGTTTTTTTGTCAGGAGTGATAGTTTGCCACCTATATTGCTGTTCCATGATAAATCCAGTTCTTCAAGCTGAGGAACAATTTCAAATGCCTCTCCTGTAACAGAAGTCCAAGATGATTCATTCTAGATATCTATTTCAGTGGAAAACAAAAATACAGCCTTGAATACACAGAGAAAAGTTACCCACTTGATTCTCAAACTGTAATTTGGGTTATTTGATAGGTAAATCGGTGTATGGCATTCCAGTGCAGCCACGCTGTATAAATCCTCACTTTGTCCAAGGAGCAAAACAGAACACAAGTTACCATCACAGTGCACACAGACCTGGTATTTATCCAGGTTCCCAAACACTCATCAGACTGCATGACCAACACTGCAGACCTGTGCCATGGCCCAGAAAGTCTCATCTACAGGGAAATCAATACAGGTTACAAGCCTGAATTTACTGTCCTGTACAGTTCTGCCTTTTTTTACTTGGCATACTTCCAGTGTCTTCCAAACTGTGTCCACAGGACATCTGGGATGGGATGAAAGAAGTCTTCTCACAGCTATTTCTCAGGGGTTTGTTTCCAGCAGGATTTTTCAGCTCACTTCATAAGGAATCAAGGGAAGCATCACTTTGAAACAAACTAGCTTCCCAAGATTTCAAGGCAGACAGCACTGATTCTTATTGCATTCTCAAAAACTGGCCTTTTCCAGGCCTGACACAGCAGCCAATTGGAACTGTGTTAGTGCTGCTTTGTAACATTAACGTCCCACTGCAAAATCCAACTTCCTAAATTCCTCTGCAGAGGGATGAGGCAGATGTGTATTTAGAAATAAATAATTTAATCAGCCAATATGCAAATGCAGTTTACAGTACTTGATCCAAAGTCTCATAATTAACCCAGAAACCGTTAATTGCATTTAAATAATAATTTTTCATGTCTCTGTGTTTTCTTAACTAATACTTCACAAAAGATTTATAATACAAAAATGTTTTTTTTTTTCCCCAACAGATAGCACCACGTACTTTTGAGCTACTAGCATATGTGTTATGTCTGATCATTTCCTGAGAAAAGAAAAAAAGAATTCAAATGATAGGGAAAAAGAAAGCTTTTAACCCAGACCAGTTTTTAGAACTTGCAAAATGAGCAGTGACCTTACAGAACAGCACAGTTGGTTGAGTTTGCCCTTCTTTCAGACACGTATCACAGGCCACCCCACCAGTAAATTCCAGGCCCAGAGGTAAGTGACTCAGCATTAGGAGCTGTGTGCACAGCACCAACTTCAAAACCTTTAAATCCATGCTCTGCACAAAGCAGGGCTGCAAGCACTCCAAGCAAAGAAGTAAGCAGAGGAATAAGCTTATTCCAAACTTACAAAAACAAGTTATGAAGCGCTAAGACAGCACTGCTGGTTTTAAGACTCCTCCAAAAGACCAACAAATATTCTGTGACAAGCACTGCACCTGTCCTGCAGCACAAAGTCCTAAACTGACCCTATGATCACTGATAACTTTTTTCACTTTTGCTGTCTACCATTAGATATTAAAGACAGCAAAAAAAATCCTAATCCAGATGGGAAACATGTTCTTCTGCAAATGGGACTGAATTCTGTTGCCTTCTGAATACAAAAGCTCTGTGCCCTGAGCTATGAGCTCAGTACAGCTGTTCAAATGTACAAGGTCACTCACAACCCCAAGTTCTTCCCAGTGTTTTGCAGTGGGACTTGATATTGTTCAGTGTGGATGCAGCAGGGATAGGATGCAGGAAGAGACAAGATGGATTACATTACACCCAAGCTGTCTGAAAGCAAACAAATGCCTGTACCTAAGGAGGTGACATCCTCAGCTGACAGCCTGCAGTTGTTAAGTCGAAGGACTTTTAGCAGGTTCACATGATGGAACTGAGCAGTGAGGGTTTTCAAAGTCCCTCCAACACAACCATTCCAGGACAGGCTGATCTCTTCCAGCTCTGGGAGAAATGGCAGTAAAGAAGCTGAGGAAAAAAGAAAAAAAAAAAAAGTACTGTTTGTACATCATGTGCAAACCTTGGATGTCCATACATCTTGATACTGCTTTCTAAGACAGTAGAAAATCATGACAATCTGTATCTCAGCTTTCTTATCTGCAGCCTGAGAACGAAGGTATTCTCCTGCTGCACAGTCTTGCATGGTTTTAATATTTCTATATATTACATAATTAATACAATTTATTTATTAATGTTCCTCAGGGACCTGGGACCACCAAATGAAATCTTAAATAAAGCCTGAGATAAAAGAAAGGGAAAGGAAAGGAGTGAACAACTGAATAGGCAAATCAGAATCAAAGAAATACACAAAGTGTCTAGCTGAATAAAATACATATTTACCCAGCTCTGTTACATCTGCTGCACTTAATGCACAATTATTGAGATCCAGGTTCTTGCTGTTGGGTTTCTTTCCCAGTTTCTGCATGAACTGGTTCAATCTCTGCTCACCAGATGGTGACTCTGCTTCAGAAATCAGCTGTGAAGATTCATCTGAGTAACAAAGAAACACAGCCCTGGTTACCAATGCAACCAACCCAGAGCACCAGGTGGAGACTTTAGGAAATGAACTAAAGCTGCCAGTAAACCAGCCTCTAATTTCGATCAGCATGGACCAACAACCTGAGTGATAAGATAGGTCAGATCAGTACAAAGCTCCTGATGCTCAATGCAAAAAGAATCTTTTTTTCACATCTCCACGCTGCCTTATGCCAGTGGCTCAGGATGTTTGCACTACTTGTTCAAGCACGTGAAATTCTTGCAAAACTCCAGACTGCAGCTGCTCTGGATACACAAGTCATTTAACCACCTCTGTGTGCCCGTGTGCCACACGGCTGGAGTACAGCCTGTACTGAATCGGTCAGAACAGAGCGGCCCTGCAATTGTGTGGTGATCGTCTCCTGCTTTATGACAGCCTGTGTTCACTTCATACATTGTCTGTGCAATGCGCTTCCTGCTTTTCTTACCTTCATCTTCCATGCAGTTTGTACAGCAAGGAAAGTTTCATTTGTATTATTCACTAAACCCTTTAATAAATCAGCAGTTTCATCTAATGTCCATAAATGAAAAGGGAAAAAACAACCCAACACCAAAAGGTACACAGAACAGTAATCCCACTCACAGTAGCTGTCCTCTTCTTGTTTTCCCAGAACTCTTAGATCAGAGAATGGGGTTTTAAACCTCACTTTCCAACACCTTTGTAAGAATAGCCTCATTTTCTCTGGTGTGTAGAGAGTGCTCTTGTATGAACAAAATAACATTCACAATCAATTTCCATGCCCTCCCCCTCACAGGTGTCAAGGAGTAGGAAACATCTGCTCTGGCTGCCTTCAGATTGCTTTAGCAGCAGGGTAGGCAGAGACCAATCTTAAATACAAGAAGCCAAGCTACTGCTCAAAGCTTGGCTTTGAAACCAAATAAGCTCTGCAACTAATAAGCTGCCTCCAGCACTGACCTCTCACACTGGAGATCAAGAGGGAGGTCACACAAAAGCTTTATGCCTCCTCGGCAGCACAGACCCCACTCCTTGCTCAGCACCTATCATGCTAGAGGGCACATCCTCAATAGTGTTTCAGTCAGAAGCAAATTCTGGCTAAAGGATATATTGCAGGCAGTAAAATATAACTTTCTGTCCAGCAAGAAAAGCAAATGAAATTAAAATGCATCCACATGGATTTGTTCATTGTATCAGCATTACCTTCTACCGAGAGATTTTCCTTCTCACTCTGATCATCAGCTCTACAGTTGTTTATTTCTGTTTCTTCAATTTCTTGTCTTTCCTTGCCTTCTGATTTCCCAAAGTCAAAGCCACTGAAGAACTTCTGGATGGCTGAAGGCTGCTCTTTTCTTTTTCCGGAAGAGGATCTCTTCCCTTGGAACTGTTTTATAACAAAGTCAAATGGGGAACTCTTTGGGATGTCTTCCTCACTCTTGTTCTGGCAACTCTGTGTGTCTCCTTTCAGCAGATCAGCAGACATAGAAGGAATTATCTTTAGCAACACTCTTGCACACCCTCTTTCATAACAGCAGATGCACTGACCATTTCCTACCATTCCCTCCATGCCAATATCAGTGTCACTGTTTAGTGAACTAGTCTCTGAGCTCTTATCTCCTCCTTTGGAAGGACCTGGTAATGCTCAGTATCCACACAGCAGACTCACTGGTCCCACTGTGACATGGCCCAAGATTCACTTTCTGCTGCTTTGTTAACACAGACTGCTCCCAAGGCTACCCCACCTGGCTACTGGGAGCCCCAGGGCTGAAGCTGCTGCATTCCCTATGGCCAAATTAAAGATTCCTATGTCAGTTTGGTGTCAGTTTGGCACCAAAGCGACCCATGCCAAAGGCTAGTCTGGCTGTCAGGAAGGTGAGGTGTGCAATAGGGACTACAAGGACTCCTGGGAGTGCACCAATGCTGGAAAAAACAAGGATCCCAGTCAGCTTGTTTGGAGAGTTCACTGCTATGATGACCTCAGTCTCAATGACTAACTGACAGGTAAATTGAAGTTTGGCTTTGTAACAATTCATATGCATTCTTTCCTTCTTTCTTTATACCACACTTGCTGTATCGTCATTTGCTGACTTTGAAGCCGCTGTGACCCCTTTCCCCAGCAGAGATCTGCTCACAGAACTCTGCACAACCCAGCGTCCCCAACAGAGCACACAACCTTGATCACTTTAATGACTGTTACACACAATGTCACCAGTATCGACAATATGCATGTAGGCTTTTTCTCCTGCTATGATACAAGTGTTCAAGGGCAGAGCACTTGAAGAAAGCTGATGCATTCTTTTAAATCTTGCTCCTGTTAGCCTGTTGCAGCTGTATTGCTCATGTGTAAAGTACAAAAATTGTACAAAGCAGTGCACAGAGATGTGAGTGCACATTTATTGAGCTGTAAAGCAATGCTAGTTACCCTGGTTGCTTTCCTTGCTGTAAAACTGCATTATTTGAAACAGACAAAAAGCCATACCTGTCTTTTCCATCGGTACACCTGTGGGTTTGTTTCACCTTTTACAGCACTTTCAGGGCTGGCAGAAGTGAGCCATGGCACGTGAACAAAACCTCACTTGTACCTATCAGGACACTCCCGATGCTTTTCTTTTGAGTGTTCCCGTCTTCGCCAGCCTGACAGCGACAGCTCTGCACAACAGCTCTGCGGGTCCTTCCTGCTGCTCTGCTGCCCCAGCCTCGCTATTCCAGGGGGAGAGCTGAGTATCCACTTGCGTGCTCTCTGCTGGTGCCGCAGCTGAGCAACCTGGCAATGCAGAAAGGAGGAAGTGGCAGTGCAGGCTGAGAGCTGCACCCTGACCGCCCCACGTCCCGCACAGCTGCTGCCAGCTGAGTCACCTCGCAGGTCAGGTTACAGCAGCACCTGAAGAAAAGCTCTTTGTTGTCCCACCCCTTTTGTCCATACTTGTCAGGAGTGTTGGTGGAGGCTGAGCAAAGGCAGGTGCCAGTGGGCGTCGCAGTTTGGTGATGCAAGGGAACACAGAGGGGTAGCTCACTGCTGGGCACTTCATGGCACAGCATGCAGGAGAGGAGAGGTCCTGCTGTGCCACCCACCACAGTCTGCTTGTAGGCAACAGCATGATAGCACAGTACAACATCTCAGAGCACATCAGGTGCATAAACCAAGCTACCCCATATTTGTGTGTTTGTAAATCTGATTTCCATGACAGTGAGAGTTACATTTTCTAGCTTCGATGCTCCTGGCCCATATCTGTGATGCTGTCACCCCCATAGCCTACATCAACCCAATACTTCTTGTCTCCCCTCATGTGCCAGATCAGTTTTCCTCATCGTTTCCTGCTCACCTTCACCTGTACCTGTTCCAACATCGTTATACATGGACCTCTCACTGCTATGTATACACTACAGACATATGCAAGCTGGAGTGCTTTGGGTAGGGAGTTATAAAGATGGTCAATAAAAGTAACGACTGCTGTGCAAGCAGGGCAGACACCGACTGAGGACAGCCCTGACTCAGTGTGTCAACGTACAGATGATTAAGACAGGGCTGAGTGCAGCAGTGTGATGCTGGGAGTCAACAGCATAAGATCAGGAGAAGAAAACTTCAAATGAACAGCAGGGAAATCCGCCCACCCATGAAAAATACTACACAGAAAGATGTTCAGAAGGAAAAAATGCACAAAAACTGCTGTCATGGGCAGTGTTTACCTGCAAGAATGAATGGCACGTAACTGTTCCCAAACAGCAGGGATCTCCAAGCTGGTTGTAATGCCTCCTGAGCCCAGGGGTGGCTGTCCTGACCCAACCTCTGTAAAGAGCACCTTGCTCTGTATCCACAGGGAAAGGGCACTTATGTGAGTCCTACACCCCTACCTGGGTGTCTCAGTTACACAGCTGAGAACCCAAAGCAATCCTGTCAGTAAGGAACACATTGAACTCGACAGCTTTCATCCACTTTCAATGTTGTGCTTAACAAGAGTGCCCAGGCATGAAACAGCCACAAGGCAACCCGCATCTGTGCCCATGTGCCAGGCTCTGCTGGGCTGAGAGCTCCGTGCCCACAGTGCTTCGATGGGAAGGTGGAACGGGAGGGAATATCTGATAATCTCCGATCCCTGGAACTGGGGAAATCCTTAAGCACGTTAAGCACTGATTACAGTGGTTAGGCTTGGCTAGCTTCAGTGCTCTGACATCAGTGCACTAAGTGATGCATTGACCATTCAGAAATTCTATCACCACTTTAGGCCATTGAATGAGAGTAAAAATACCTCATGGCACCATGACAGCATCCCTGTAATCCGGTGAGAAGGGAACTGTATTTTCACAGCGACCTAATTTCTTCTTCCTAGAAAGCAAGCTATGCAGGACGAGGGGACAGCAAGGTTATCCTAAAGCAAAGCAGGACGACCAGAGCAAGGGCTGAACGCATGGATGTCATTCTGCAGTAGCCCAGGCTGTGCCCTGCATGTGCAATACAGAATGGTGGGAATCATTAGCTGGTATGCAGGGCGGTGCTGTTCTCTCCCTGCTCACTGGTGAACATTGCCCTGCTCTGCCTCACAGACCCATACATCTACTTCCTGCAGTTCACCACAGACAGCATAGGGTAGGCTTAGCTTCTGCAGTTTAAAGATAATAAATGCCCACGCCTTTCCATCGAGTTAAATGGCTTGTGACCATCTGCTGAGCGCTCAGTGTCACATTTGTTTATATCTGTTCCTCCCTCTGTGTAGACCTGGGGCAAGGATAGGAACAGACCAGGTCTGGAAAAACACAGTTAAAGTTGCATCCCACACAGCATCCACTGGTGAGAGATTAATGTGGATTTTTGTACTTTGCCTCATTGTGACTCCTTAATCCGGCATATATTCCAAAGAAATAATGCCATTAGAGGATTAGTGCCACAAGTTCATTTGAAAAAAAGGATTTGCAAACACTGAAATCCTATATTCTATGTACTTAATCACTGAGTATCATTTTGGGGATTCCCTCTCCTTTTAGGAGTGCATCTTTCAATGAAACCCAAGCAAAGTAGCAACTCTGTATTTGATGGCCCTTATTATCCATCAAGTAAAATTAGCACCCCAAGCACCTGGATGAAATAATAAAGCACACTTGCTATAGTCAATGACTGCAGTTGCATCAAAGAGGCCCTTGGCCCAGTATTTATATAGAATATAACGATTTTGGATATTTATCTGCTAAGGATGTTCAACATTCTGAGCTCTATAACACACAGTAGACACCCTTGTTTACTTCTACCCATGTTCCCTTTCTCAGCTTTGCTCACCCCTAGGTGCAGCCAGCATTCTCCTTTCTGTATGAGGAGACTGAGTCAACATGATGTTATTCCTTCCCCCTTTCCCTAGCATGCATCTCTGCTTCCATTCCCACCTCCTGCATGAATGTCAATGCCTGCAGTAGCTTTTCAGATTGCTTGGCTCAATCTGCTGCAGGCTGAAAAATGCTTATTGGCATTGCTTATAGGCTCACAGACTCAGAAACACTGTGCAGCACTGACAATTCCCTGGACCAAACGCCTTCCAGACTTCCCCACAGTGTGCATGCCTGAGGACTAAGTTTGGTCCAAAGGACCTGTGAGAATCCACATTATTTCCTGTAAAATGAGTGTTTGACAGTCTAACATACCAGACACACAGCAGCTGTTTAAAACAGATTTCAATGTGCTATGAAAACTATAGCTGATCTTCTTGGTATTTAGGTCCAACCATAGACTGGTCACAGGAGAAGTTTGAAAGGCACAGATAACATGCTAAACCAGCAAAAACCTTGGGTTCAGAAAAGCACATTCCTCTGAGAAACCTTACAACAGTTTCCCTAAACTCAGTGAGACTTTTCATGGGTGACATTTCTCTGTACTTTTATGCTACCACAGAATCACAGAACATCCCAGAAGGGACCCACAAGGATCACAAAGTCCAACGCTCGGCTGCACATAGGAGTGAAATGGAATTTCTCTTTGTGAAATGGAACTACACAAATATCAACGTCTCACTCCCTATTAAAATCTACTAGCCTGTCAGAGAAGATTTTCAGGGCTAGAAAATAATTTTTAGTTGAACTTATGCCAGGATTAATCCCCTTTCAGTTAATCATTCACATGAATGGGTAATCTGCAGAGTTCATGCAAGGCCTGCAAACTATATTAATTACTAGAAACCTAATTAGAAATCAACAGAGTCAAAGGATCAGTGTTACTTCCATACGGTACCATCTGGTACAATGGGTCTGGATAGTTCAGGAAAACCCCATTGCATTCTGTGGAGATTGAACCTGAATACATACTACTGGGTTTTGGTTGTGCTCTTCCAAATCCTTATGTTCTACAGCAAAGTGATGCTGTGTTGACTACAGAGATAACCCTGGCAGTAAATCTGGGCAAGAGTGCACAGGAGAAGGTGTAGCTCCAGCCCTATCTTTCACATTAGTGTATACTTAGTGTAGCTCAGGTGATCAACGCCAAATATTGCATGGGAACTGTTCAACTACTGAAACTCATCTTCAGATTCTGCGGTGCAAAGGGAATAAATAATGTGGGAATACATTGTGCTAAATCATCTGAGCTAACAGTGATGCTGACTGACAAACCACGGTCTAGGACAAGTTGATACAGTCCACTCACCTCCTGCGTCCCTCTCTCTCACTCTCCATTGCTGCTTCACCATTTTTCCCATTGGAGAAGATGACCAGCAAAAACAAGACTGCTGAGATACGTATGGATACGTGTCTGATTCAGAAACACATCCCCAACACCTGTGAAATCCAGCCAAGAACAGTTAGATCTTTCCAGAGCGGGACTGTCAAAGCACTGTGGTTGTCACACATCACCACAGCAAGCAGCAACCTTGCTTCTGTGCCAGAAATCAAAGACTGGATGCCAGGAATCCCGTGAAGTATCATTCTCCCTTTCCAACCTTCCCTCATTGGATAAAATAGAAGCAAATACATATATGTATACCTGTTATATTGCTGGTTTTGTTTCTACCTCAGGAAGTACTCTCTCCTAGTGTTAAACTTTTCATAGTTTTCCTGAAATGCGGTACACACAGGCTGAAACATCTGATGAAGAACGCATGCTGATGCAATACTTTGCTCTTAGTGTACTTGGGCAACCCCATACCTTACTAAGCATTTGCTTCAGCCTCGCTCAGACAATCCCAAAACATCCCAGCAGAGGAGCTTTCTTCAAGGCTGCTTTGGCTCATCACATTTGGAATGACAAGCTTCTGTAGGCAGTCACAGACTGAGTGGATTGAACACAAGCTGAGAATCACCTTGTAGCTGGCATGCTACTGAGATACCTTGTCTGCTTGCAAGTGGAATTTTTGTTAGACATTTCTCCAGGATTAGGTGCTGTGATGGTACCTGGGAAAGGACATGGGGCACTTGTTGTTGCAGTGAGCATTTGATGAGCTTCAGGAACGTGAGCAAGGGGAAAACAAACATCATCTCTGACGTCCCACGGGCTGACATGGATACCTGAAAAAATTTACCTCTCCCTGCAGTTTTAAACTTTGTGATACACTGGGCATTCATTCTGAGAGTTAACCCGCTGATGGTGAGAATTAAAGAGTAAACTGCTGGCTTGAGCAGTATAACCATCTGATCCTTGTGTTAGCCTCACAATATGCTTAACAGGATTTCCATCTTCTAGTTTTCCCCAGTCCAAGCGGATACACAGCCCTGGGATAACACAGCTGTGGGCTGACTGCTCTCCAACTGACAGAAATATGCTGTTCCTAGAAATCTGTGCAAACAGGCAAC